AAAATAAAACGGGTATAAGTTAAAAAGGGGCGACCAAATAGGGCGCCCCATGCAATTTTTACGAGTTACTAACATTTATGGACTATAAAACTTATTGGAGCATCCAAAAATTATAAGGCCAAGCTTGAAATAATACGTTAAAATATAAAACTATGAAAATGTTTAAGAAATATTTATAAACTACACTACAATAAATATTTTTATGTTTTAAATATATTTAAAACTTCTATACATATAATGTCGGATTGGTTTTGGCTTCGGTTTGACTTTATTTTAGTTAAAACCAAACCAAACAAAATATGGTCGGGTTTTTTTTTTCCAACATCAAACCAAATCATAGTCGGTTTTTTTTTTCTCGGTTTGACTCGGATTATCGGGTTGGTGCGGTTTGTCGATTTCATTTGTACATCCCTAATTTGGTGGCTATAAAACTTATTATTCCCTCCGTTTCAATTTAGATGTAGTAGTTTGACTCGGCACGGAGTTTAAGAAACAAAAGAAGACTTTTGAAACTTGTGGTCTTAAAAGCTTAAAGGGTAAAAGTTTTGTGGGGTCATGACATTTGTATGGTTATAAAAGGTTCTCATTAAGGATAAAATGGGAAAAATGAAGAGTTGAAAGTTGAATTATTTTCAAATTTAGAAGTGTGTCATTTATTTTGGTTACAAACTAAAAAGAAAATAACCTCATCTAATTTGAAACGGAGGGAGTATTATGGTAAATCAGGTCATTCTACATATTATTGTAACAACTAACTTTTAAATTTCTTAAAAATTACAGCTCATATTTTTTAGAAATAATGATATTGTATAGCCGCTTTTAAGATAGCAAAAAAATTACTATAAATTTTATGATATTTTGTGACTATCGAATGTAAGTAATTTTGTTCGCGCGCTAAAAATGATCTTTGTCTAGTTTGTTACGAAGAGTAAATTTTATGGTTCTCTATACGTGGTGTTACTAACGAACGTGACATATTTACACGACGCCACCATTCCCCTTTCCTTGCAACTTCCAACTATGAAACGGCTGCCACTCTTAGAACCAAAGCGGCAATACACAATTACACACACTCTTCAAAACTCGGCCAATTGGTATACTTCAAGAAATACAAAGCAGTAAAATTACCAATTATTTCCAGTGGCAGCAACAAATATGGTAGCTATATGACTAACTTTTGAAATTTGTGATTTGAAATATACTATAATATTTGTGAGTATAAAAGTTTATAATTAAAATGAAATAAAAAATTTAAGTTAAAATACTTTTAAACTTAGAAAGTTGTAATTATTATTTTTTGGGAGCGAACTAGAAAGAAAATGTTGGCTTTTAGTGTTCCGGTGTCAAGTGATTTAAATCAATTATTTTCAAGCTATACATAGATAATTAAATATATAAGATTTCTTGTGAAATTTACGGGTCCGATGGCCTCTCAGTCCCGGGATTACACAGAGGTCTGCCTCTGTCTAGAACGGAGAGTAATTATTTTTAGTTGTTTTTTCTAGTAATTGCATCTTTCTCTAAGGTTTATTCTTGTCCATTTATTTTGAAGGGGTATCATGCGTCAGATGATTATAAAAGAAAATCAGACTATAATAAAGGTTATAACGACGATAAGACCGTGGCAGATGCAGGGGATAGGATTGCTGAGATGACTGAGAAAACTAAGAAAAGCATGAAAGAATCCATGGAAAAAACTGAAAAGAAAATCAAAGAAGCGAAGAACAAATCAAAGAGTACAAGTGCAGATAGCATGAGAGACAAGACAAATGAATTGGCACAAGAGACAAAAGGTAAAGCGAAGAAGAAAGCACATGATATGAAGCAAAAGATTAAAGACACGACGGAGCCTATAGAGGTTATATCATATTCCTATCTCAGTTGTTTCTTATACTTCGATTATCTTGTTGTTGTTACTATTTTTTGTTACTGTTTCTTTTTTATTACTATAGCCATTATTGTATTTCTTTTCAACAATGATGTGATTATACTTTTACTGAGCTAAGAGTCTATCGAAAATCATCACTCTACCTTCACAAGATAGGGGTAAGGCTGCGTACACACCACCCTCCATAGATTCCACTTGTGAGATTACACCGAGTTTGTTGTTATTGTTGTTCAATTTATGTCAATTTATTTGATTGATCACCGAGTTTAAAAAAGAAAAACATGAAAACATTTAGGATTTTCCGTCGTAAACATGTTGTAAAATGTTTGAAACTTAGTGTTAAAAGCTAGGATAACATGAGAAAGTTCAACTAAACTAAAGTTTTTCAAATTTATGAAAAGGTCATATAAATTTGGTATCGAAAACAACTTCTCTACCTTCACAAGGTTGGGATAAGGCTGCGTACACACTACCCTCCTCATACTTCAGTTGTGATTACACTGGGTTTGTTCTTATTGTTGTTGAAAAGTAAAATCATTTCCATTTGAAATGGCACAGGAGACTAAAGAAAGAGCAAAGAAGAAAGCCCAAGAAGTGAAGCAAAAGACTGAAGACACGACGGGGACTATAGCAGATAAAGCTCAAGATATGAAGAAGAAGACTAAGCAGAAAATGCAGGACGTATGGGGCGCAGCAAAGGAGACAACACAAAAAATTAAAGAAACGATGGTTGGTAAATCGGAGGATAATGATAAAAAATCTATTGATGATTATATTGAAGATCATACTGGAAAAACAAAGGAAAAGGATGTAGTGAAGTTGAAGAGGAGTACAGGTGAGTTTGATGACAAGAAATATTGAAATAAGAAGTGGAAAATGTTTAGCTAAGGTGTTTCTTCTTCTCCTTCATGTAATAATTTGAACACACACTAAATATTGAAAAAACAAATATGTACCGTAGAAAATTGAAGTGACTTGCTTTATTTGTAATTGAAATTGACTGGGGTTAATGTTTTATTGAGCTTATAGTATCTACTATCTTTTAATGTTTTGGATAATGATTTGAATGAAGAAAATTGAAGAACAATATCATTGTTGGTTTTTATTGAGCAAATTTCGGATATTACTAGGACTATAAGGATATAATTCTGTTAAGTTTTTCATCGAAGTCTATCCGATTGTCATATTTGCTCCTGAGGAATTTATCTACAGGGTTGGTAGATTTTATGCTATATTTACTCTACCAATCTGTTAAGTTGTTCATCGAAGTCTATCCGAATATTGTCATACTTTTACTGGGTTATTTTAATAAAGTGTTATTCGAATTTGCAATTTCAATTTCGATCAAACCATCCAAAATCTGCTCTAGATGATCTCAAATATAAAATGAAGTTTTCAAATAACAACAAATAACTTCCAATAACCAATTCAGTTAAATAACACTTGTAAGCACCTAATTTTTGACTATATTTGAATTTTTATCACCTTCTACTATGTAAATATTTTCAGAA